GAGCCCTGCACGTGTGTCTGTTGCTGCTGCCGCTGCTGCTGCTGCTGCTGCTGCTGCTGCTTCTGCTGCTTCTGCTGCTGCAACTGCAGCTGCAGCTGTACGCACCGCCGACCTCGCGCTGACTTCCCCCGGCAGCAGCAAACAGCAACGGTCAGGAGATAGACGCATGTCCAGCATGGCCACAGCCTGAGCTCGCGTGCGCGGGAATCCATCTAGAATCCAGCCGCAGCACTGCTGCTGCTGCTGCTGCCGCTGCTGCTGCAAATGGGTAGACACCAACTCCACTACGAGCTCGTCGCTTGCTGCCAATACAAACGCAACAGTTGCAAGCATAAGAGGCGGTGTTCCATTTTCTCTTTATTACTTTTGTCTATATGTAAACCCAGTGATGATCAGTTCAGCCCTCTCCCCAAAAGCTGTCTGCCTCTGCAGCTCAATTAACTCTTTCCTGTTTCTGTGCTGCATGCTGCATGCATGCGCCGTCGGTTACTGTTCTTTGCACTCCAGTAGTGCTGTTCTTTCCTCCTATTGTTACCGATACTAGCTCTAGCTAGCTGTTTGAATTCCTATGACAGTGGTTTTATTTGTTTAATGTGACCTCCCCTCTTCTCTCCTCAGCTGCAACTACTCAGGGCTGCTTTCCCGCACCCAAGGTCTTCGAGCTGAGAGCTTTTGCTGCTTCGCCACGCGGGTATTTCTCTGCGTGCGCTCGCAAGAGGCTCCCGACAGAGACCAAAGGGAGGCCCCACCGCTCCGCCAGGCGGGCAGAGACCTCACGCCTGCCGCTGCCAGGCAGGCCCAACATGACGAGCCGCAGGGGTAGGCTCAGCTGCTGTTGCTGCACTTGCTGCTGTTGCTGCTCTTCTTCTTGCTGCGGCTGCTGCAGCTGAGGCTGAAATTCCTGCGCCTCGAGGAGCTGCTGCTGCTTCAAGTGGTCGATAAGATACTGCAATGGGTCTTCGGGCTGATGCTGCAGCAGCAATTTCAAGAGAGACTGCATCATGTCTCTGAGGCCCTGGGCCTCCGCGTACTCCTCACATTTTTTTGCAAAGGGTTTTTCGGCCTCCATCGCAGCGCAGCGACAACCAAGGGTCAATTTCTACTCCTTAGGTCGATGTTTCGCAGCTGCTTGTTGCTGCGCCGTGACAGTCGCTGCTGCCGCAGGTGTTCTCGACGCTGCCGTTGCGGTTGTTACTGCCGCTGCTGCTACTGGTATTACTGTGCTGCAGGGTTAACCCTTCGTCTTCGACGGGCCGGTCGGCCGCAACACGGAGAGAAGACCAGCAGCATACAGCAGCTCCAAAAGGATGCCGCATGCACGGAAACAGGAGCAGATCTCCTCCAGTTCTGTCTCCCAAGCCCAACAAATGTAATATATACATCTCGATGCTNGAAACAGGAGCAGATCTCCTCCAGTTCTGTCTCCCAAGCCCAACAAATGTAATATATACATCTCGATGCTGATATACATGCCTCTGCTTCGGGGGCTCCGGCCCCCTGGGGCCGCTAGCTAAAGGCCCCGAGGCCAGCAGCTGCCCCATGGGAGGCGCCAAGGAGTCTCATGCTGGGGCTGCTGTGCTCTGTGAAAGATACTCTTGACTGATGGCTGCAGCTGCACAAAAATCAAATATTTGACTACAATTATTAATAATATATATTATTATATTAGCGGGATATTTTGAAGTCTGAATTGTGCACCAGCACGCCCCGTAGTACCGGGGCGTCGCGTGGCTCACGCGCCTCATCGGTAGAGGGTCACCTGCAGGTGACCGCCTCGCTGGGGTGTATATTTTCATTGTATTTATATTTGCTTTTGTTTGAAACGCCTCGGCGTGCAACACATACACAATTCGAGGCTCATACTTCTCAACATCGCAGCGTCCAAGCTAGAAAAAGGTGAAAAACCTGAACTCTGCAAGTTAAGCGCCTTCCTGCCTTCGAAGTCCAGCATCGTCTACCGCAGGACGCGCGAAGCTGCAGAGCAAGAATCAGTTAGTTCTCTGATCTTTACAATATCTATTGTATATCTTAAGGTTTTGGCATCATTAAAAGACTCTTTGTTGAGCGCAAACCTCCCGAAAAAAGAGAACCGGTGCATCGTCATCTCTTAACTGATGACACTGTATAAACGCCAGTTCCTACTCTCCCACATTCATCGCATATCACAGAATACGAAGACCTGTGGTTCGAACAGGTCCAATCTTCGCAAGTAGTTGCAAGTGGATGGTTGATGGGCACTCCAGATCGTGTTTTTTCTG